AATTACATGATGGATAATTCTATGTAGCGCACAGAATGAGGCTACTGAGCCCAACTGATTCATGTAATTGTTTATGCAGGTAAGAAGCTTCTGCAGGCTGTTTGTTGGACTGGTTGGTTAACGAGTGAGGGATATGTTATGCCTTACACTTTACTACTTACAATTCTCTGCACCATCTCCTGTCGACTGCCAGAAGTTGACCCCTTACTGAGTCTTCTGTCCCATTGGACCTTACTGCACCTTCCACACTCAGCAGCAATTGATCCCGTGTAAAGGCAGCATCCAAGATTCCCAGACAGAGGTTCGTTTAAACTGTTACTGAACCCTTAAATGCATTCTTTAGTTCTTCACTAGGTACAGAAGTTTGAGGCAGGGTGGATCTGCTCCTTTGAAATGTTTTGTCATTTGTGCCGGTCAATTTTCCCTCTCCACCTACTTCATCTAGGGCACAATGAGTTTCTGATGAGAGATGCAATATCATCTCAGTTGGGGTACCATCAGTTAAACTTTTTGACCACTGTTCTAATTTATAAATGTCCATTTGAGATTATTCTCCAGGAATCAGTCCAAAGCTATTCTCAGCTTCTGAAGTTTTAATCCCTTTTACAGCCACATAACTCTCTGAACTGAGATACATAGTGATGGTTAACTTTGAGACTCTTCCCCCTAGGGAAAGCTGGGCAGCCCTTTTCAATCATGAATTTTGTTTCCTTAATTCAAGCGTGAGCTCTCATTTGCATTCTACAACTGAGATTGACTGCCTTTATTTCTCTATTCTCCATTTCTCAGTGTCTTACAAACTGCCTATCTGTAAGGTGCAGTGATATCCAAAGAGAAATTTTGTAACCTGACACTACGACGGTTTCCACTGATTCTTCCTCTCTGTCAGACCATCTGATGACATAATTCAGAAAACATTTATTGAGAAATAAAATGTAACACTTAAAAAAGTCAGTTGGTTTAAAACATGCCATGTCCCTAGTTTGCCCTTGGGTGCAGTCAATATGTGGATTGGTTCCTGCCTCTTGGTCTTTGTTCCTTTCACAGCAATAATACACGCTCCGTCCTCTGCGGGTCTTTCAATCCTTCATCTTCCCACTGTATGGACCTCGCCGCTGAAAGCTGATGCATGTCAACCCTGTCTGACACCCTGCACATCCTTGTGATCAGTGGTGTTCAAGGACTGTGGCTGAGGAAGTACATTGTCAGTTGCTGGTTGATCATGCACCACATACACCATTCTCTGATTGGTACCTTAAGGGTGATGGTCATCTGAACATCTTACTTCTTGTATTAACCTATCTGGTTCCCAAAGGGGTCAATTATCTGTGGAACACCCTTCTCAAAGTAGTATTGATCAATTATTTCATTAAAATTTATGCCTTTTCAAATCAGATAATGGGCACATTAAAGTAGGTTTTGTATCCCCTTATATGAGCTAAAATGCAATGTGAAATCTTAAGGATTCACTCTCTGGGCTTATCATTCACTGTGCCTCTAACGTATAGGTATCAATATCATTACTTCCCGTAGAATTCTTATTAAGGCAAGCATAGTGTTATATCTCACAGTTAGTATGTCAGCATATCTTAAAAAGATTTGCTCAGGATATCATCAGTGCATGTGACTTAAGGGTATAAATGCCCCAGCTTCTTAAATGTGATCATTTGAAGTATGACATGCTGATGGAATTGTGCTACGTTATGTCATCAAAAAGCTTAAAGTTAGCCCTGAAGTACCTGTGATTGTATGTTTGTATGAATTAGGAAGCTGTAATAGACATCTCTGGGATCTTTCCACGTTATCCACCTCCTAGTTTCTGATGTTACAAGGGATAACATAAGCATTTTTGCATCAACAAAGATACCTACTGGAGGTAAAACACACATCAGCAGGCACCTATTAACGTGCTTTGATTAGGAGAACTGCTTTCTAGTGTTGACTTCTACAGAGACTGCTCATGCTTGGCTCAATTTAATTAGAAATACATTTCATTGCAGTTCATTTCAGTACAATTCATTCTGATTAACTGGCAAATCAACACTCGTTTTCTTCCTGAACAAAAACAAAGTTGCTGGAAAAGCTCAACAGGCCTGGCAACATCTGTGAAGGAAAAAACAAGAGTTAAAGTTTCGGGTCCGGTGTCCCTTCCTCAGAACAGTTCTGAACTACAGCATCCGCAGTTCTTTTGGTTTTTATTTACTCTTTTTTTTCCTGTAGTATGAATTATTGTGATTGTTTCAAATTTGACTTGCTTGTGTTTGTCCTGATGAGTGCAAGATAAAACATTGTCAGTAACATGTCCACTTTATTGTAATATCCAAATTTTTCTTTATTCATTCATTGTATATGCATCGCAGGCTAGACATTTATTAATCCCTAATTACTACGGGAAATGTGCTGGTGAGCTGTTTTTTTGAATGACTCAATGCTTTGAGTGTAGACATACCCATAATGTTGTGAGGAAGGGAGTTCCAGGATTTTAACCCAGTATCAGAGAAGGAGCATTGGTATTGTTCAAAATCAGGATGGTTGGGGGGGGGGAGGAAGGAGCATGATGTTGGTATACTCCCACACATTTGCTACCTTTATCCTTTTAGCCGTAGACATTGCAGGTTTTGAAGATGATACAGAAGAAGCCCTAGTGAATTACTACAGTGCATCTTGTAGATGGTATACACTGCTACCACTAGCATTGGTGTTGAAGGGACTGAATGTTGAAGGTGGTGGTTGGGGTTCCATTCATGTGGGCTGCTTTCTTTTGGATGGTATCAAGCTTCTTGAGTGTTGTTGGAGCTGCACACATCCAGATGAGTGGAGACTGTAACATCATACTCTTTAGTCTACCTTGTAGAAGGCGGGGGGAGACTGGAGATGATTAGATGGACTCAGGTTAACAGAAAACACAGACCAGACTTCTGTACTTAACAAGATCCACTATTTATTACAAATAAATGAATTGCAACAACAGGCAAACAAAAATATGAATTATCAATATAGAACTCTATTAGCTGAAACTCTAACCTCATCATGGATACAAGCAGACAGGCTCAGACAAACAAACAAGCGAACATGGATGTTATGAGCGAAGAGAAAAAAAAATTGGAAATACGGTTCAAGAGCACAAGTCCATAGAATTCACTGAGGTGTCCCTTTTGCTTCTTCCAAGTCCTCCTGATCTTTGATCTTCATATCCACGTGCTTTCAGTTCCTTGCAGGAGAGGAGAAGGCATGGCTGACACATTCATTGTTCAGTTGCGCAGTCAAGAGTTAGAAATAATTGCTGGGAGAGAATAGCTATCATTAAGGTTTCAGTTCTTCACTGTGATGGAGGAAAAGAGAAATATTGTTTCTTTCAGTCTGCAGATCTTCTGCCCCTGGATTGTTCACAGTCAAGTTGTTCATTTGCCCAGGAGCAAATCAGAGAGTTGTTGTCATGGCGATGACTTGTGGCTTCCACAACTGGTCCTAATTAAAAAAAAAACAATCAGCAGTATGTCTCCAACAAAGTTTAGTGTTGCTGAGACTCAAATATCTTCCCCCACTGTTTGAACAAAACAACTGTGGAAACACAACTCACATTGAGCTCCAGTAACTTGTTTTTAATAGAGCAGCAACTCTTTCACAGTCCTGGTTTAACGCCAGTTATTTTTCTACATTTGTCCGTAATCCAAAATGAAGGAAGATAAAAGGATGTGGTCATTACATTGGTCTAGGTCAGATTCTGGACAATAGTAATGTCATGGATGTTGGCAGTGGGGGATTCAGTGATGGTAATACCACTGACTGTTAAGAGGTGATGGCTAGATTTTCTCTTCTTGGTGCCTGGACCTTGGATGGCACTAATGTTATTTGCCACTTATCATGGATATTCTTCAGGTGTCGCAGCGTATGGATGTGGACTGTTTCCAGCATTTGAGGAATCAGAAATGGTGCTGCAAATTGTGCAGCCATCAATGAACATCCCAGATTCTGACATTGTGATGGAGGAAAGGTCATTGATAAAGCAGCTAAAGAAGTTGGACCTCAGATAATCCCCTGAGAATCTACTTCAGCAATGTTCTGGGGCTGAGATAATTTGGAATTCAGCTCTTTTGTCCATATTTGGACCAAGGTTGCAATGAGATCAGGAGCTGAGTAGCCCTGGCAGAACCCGGACTGAGCACCAGTGAGCAAGTTATTAGTAAACAAGTAATGCTTGATAGCAATGTTGATCACACCTTTTGTCACTTTATTGATAATGAAGAGTAGACAAATGGGGTGGTAAATGACCAGTTTGGACTTGTCCTGTTTTTTTTGTTTGCAGGATAGATCTGCATGATTTTCTACATACCAGTTCGATGCCGGTGGTGTAACTGCACTGGTGCGACTTGGCTATTACATCTTCTCACTCTCTTGCTCTTAATCTCAAGCTGTTCAGCTACTTGAGAACCGATCATATTGTTGTTGGCAGGCAGAAGGCTTTTGTCATTGATAACTGGTCACTAGTCCACAAACCGATCAGTTACTTGCTGTCAGCCTAAACTCCATTTGTGTACGCACCTCCTTTGTCTCCAGCTCATCTGCAAACTACACTCCAACTGTTGCAGCTGCATAAACAGTGTTTACAATGTGTGTCAGGTTACTTGTCTTCAATGCATACAGCAATTCTTGATTTTGAAGGAGTTCTATTTTTCCTATCAGTCCGCAATTCAATGTGCAGAAAAGTAAAATGACACAGTCTTTGCCATATAATTAACACTATTTCCCCATATCCGACATTACTTTGTTTCTATTCACGCTCAGCAGAACCTTTAACTTTACGGAAATTACTGTGATTTGGATAGTTCCACAGTGTGGTCAATATTCCTGAATAAAGTACATTTAGAATTATTGCAAAAAGGGCCTTATGGAAAATTAACACACAGAAGTAAAATGCTTACTTCGAAGTTTCCCATGGAATGTAAAAGAAATGTACCCCCATTTATAGATCGGTGCCTCAATGTATTTCAACATATCAGTTAGTTTTCATTGGGAAAGTTGTTTCTGCCCTCGATGGAAGGGCGTAACTCACAAAGAGCACTTAAATATTCGTCATTGTCAGGATCAAACTCCAAAGCCTTTTTGAAGCATTCAATTGCTTCACACTTCTCCCCATCGAGTTGGTGCAGGAATCCCCGAACACCAAGGGCCTCACTGTCTCTTGGATTCCTGCGAAGTCGTCTTGCTGCTATCTTCTCCAGGTTTTCACGGCACTTGTTCCATTCCACTGAGTTGTAATTGACTTTCATTCCCTCCAGAAAATGTTGGATGGCATTTGATTCTGAATTCTTGTGATTCAGTTGGAATAACCCTACCGCTAAACATATCGCTTGCTTGTTCTCTGGGCGAATAACTTCCAGTGTCAGGAGATGGCTGTAGATTTCCTGTGCTTTGTCATATTCTTCATTTAATAAGCAAATTGCTGCAAAATCGAGGTGGCCCTTAATAGATGTCAGCGACCGTTTCTCGAAAGATTTTTCGAAATGGTACTTGCATTTATTGACCAGCTCAGCTTTCTGTTGAAATGCCGGATTGCGAGGATCTTTACTGAGTGGATTTTTGATCACTCGATACAATTTGGTTCTGTAACATTGACCTATTTTATGATGTATGAAGGTAGAGTGTGGGCTAATTTCTAATCCTCTCTCCAACAGCTCCAGAGCTTTATCCACATTGTTGCAGTATCTGTAAAACTGAGCTGCATATCGGAGCACATAAGGGAGATCAGGGGACTTCTGCAATGCTCGTTCAACTAAAGTGAGTGCTTCATCACTTTTCCTACTTATTTGTAGTTTGAGAGCCAACAGCACCATGGATACAGAGTCATTGGGATCAAGCTCCAGCACACGTCTAAACCACTTCAGTGATTCCATGGGCCCGCGACTCTCTGGGGTCCCAGAAAACCATTCCAGACGAGACAGAGCAGTGGCATAGCCAACGTTCCACTCAATATTGTCAGGATCTTTCTCCAGGGCCTTTTTAAAACATTCCTTTGCCTCTTCATAATACTGGGCAGCAGTAGTCAACAGTGACCAACCCTTCTCCCCATAAACCTCGGGTATCATTGCTGTAAACTGAGAGGCTTCAGGAAATGGTTTACAGACTGTCTCTAGCTTATCGAGGTAGGACTGAGCCTCTCCCAGTCGGTCCATGTGATAATAAACCCAGGCATAGTTTCCATAGGTGACAATGATTCGTTTTTCAAATTCATCTTGATGTTTCTCCTTCAGAATCTTTTCAGCTTCCTTTAAATTCTGAATTGCCTCTTCACAGTTTCCTTGCAGACAGGTTATAAAAGCAAGTTGGTTGTAGGACCTGTCTTGATATTTCACACCAGCCTGTATCGAATCTTCTAATCTGTATTTCATATCATCCAAGTCAATGTTTTCTTTCTGTGGAGCCCATGTGAAGTGACATTGAAGCTGATTCAGCTTCACTTTCAACAAATCCTTCACTGTGTCACTGCAAGAGAATAAAATGAATCAAAATTCATCTCATTCCAACAGCAGTTCTGTCTCTTCTCCATGTAGTTTGTTTACAAAATGGATTGTCATATCTCCAAAAACATGATGTGAAGGTGATGGTATTGCACTGGGATGGACAAAGTGAAAAGTCACATGACACCAGATTACAGTCCAACAGATTTACTTGGAATTGCAAGCTTTCAGAGAGTTGCTTCCTCGTCAGGTCCTTCACCCCATGAAGGAGCAGTGGCCCAAAAGTTCGTGATTTGAAATAAAACTGTTGGTCTTTGGCGTGGTGGTATGTGATTTCTGACTTATTACAAATACATGGCTCAATTCATACTTGTGCCTTTAATGCTGGCTGATGTATTTGCGAGTGGAGAAGGCTTTCCCTCAAAGTCAAAATTAGTTCACTGACAACTTGTTGAAAGAATGATGATGTATTGAATGTAAGTATGGGTGCATAGTACAATGTCTAGCTATTGACCAAAGCAAAGTATTCTTTCCCTCCCACTTCAAAGAAATCAATTACTTCTTCCTATTTCTTCCTAAACTGTTCTTCTGTTTAACCACAGAATGAAAGGGGCATTGACTGAATCATTACCCATTTTGAAACATGTTTTAAAATATTACATAAATTTTAAATAACCATGTCAATACTTGGATACCAAAAACTTTGACTGCTTTCAAATGGTAAATTTCTGTGCACTTGTGATGACATTTCTCACGTAATCACTCTCTAAACATTGGTGGGAAAAATGATACAAACCAACAGGAGACAGCCTTAATCAAGCTCATGGTTGTGTGTGAAATAATCCTGGCAATTTCTCAGCAGCACACTCTTTTGGATACCTACAAGTGCCACTCTAAGGTTGATTTTTTTTAAGATTCTGCCATCTCCATAGTGATGAGAGATTTTCCTCAATTCAAAAACATAATCTGTAACAGTCTTAAGTCTCAGTTTCTTCCTTGCTTGGATTGCAATTCTCTATAGAATTTCATTATTTCTGATATTGTAATTACATATATTTCAGAACAGTCCCATAGTTCTAGGATTACACGGGCAACATTGGGTGGATATCAGCTCAAAAACATCTAGTCCCTTCATGATGAAGGAAACATTCATGTTCCTTGTCTCCTATTTCATTGACTTTCAGCTAAATTTATAACCTTTATTTATGAATACACCAGTTCCCTTTATCAGAGTCGAAATCCTTAGCTTTCCCTGGATGTGTCTTCAGCTCCATTTCTTCCCCCAAAATGTACTGTGCTAACTCACTCTATCGGAATAAATGTAGACATAGGTAATCTTTCACATTGCTCAGACTTCCTGAAATCAACTTTAGGAGTTCCAAATTTGTGGCTCAATGGTATTCAACACTTAATTCTTCAAACAAACAGAAAGGAAAATTCAATGCTATCCTTGCCAGCATCTTTCTATTGGCGATTGCACTGAATAAGATTAACATATGCTCAGTGCAGGCTATTGTCATTGAGCTAACTGTTCTTGTATCTCAGTGTGGAGCTGGAGGAGCACAAACTGGTGAAGTTTCAAAATCCCACGAGGAGCTTGAACAGTTCATCAACTTTACTAACGCCTTTCGCCTCAACCTCAAGATCACCTGGACCATCTCTGATACCTCTCTCTCCTTCCTGGACCTCTCTGTCTCCATCTCTGGTGACCACCTCAAAACCAACATCTATTTCAAGCCCACCGACTCCCACAGCTACCAAGACTACACCTCCTCTCACCCACCTTCCTGCAAGAATGCAATCCCCTATTCCCAATTTATCCGCCTCCATCGCATCTGCTCCCAAGATGGGGCGTTCCACTCATGAACATCCCAGATGTCTTCTTATTTCAAGGACCGCAACTTCCCCCGCTTCGGTGGTCGAAGACGCCCTCAACCGCATCTCTTGCATTTCCTGCACCTCTGCCCTCACATCCCCTTCCCCCAACAAAAACACAGACAGAATTCTCCTTGTCCTCACATATCGCCCCACTAACCTCCGTATTCAACACATCATTCTCCGCCACTTCTGCCACCTATAATCCGACCCCACAACCAAAGATATATTTTGCTCCCCATCCCTATCTGCCTTTCATAGGGACCGCTCTCTCCATGACTCCCTCGTCCGCTCCACATTCCCCACTATCCCCACCTTCGTCGGCATCTTTCCCTGCAACCGCAGGAAGTGCTACACCTGTCCCTACACCTACCCCTTCACCTCCATCCATGGCACCAAACAAACCTTCCACATCAGACAGAAGTTCACCTGCACATCTGTCAATATGGTCTATTACATCCGCTGCTCCCAATGTGGCCTCCTCTACATCGGGGAGACCAAACAGAGGCTCGGAGACCGCTTTGTAGAGCACCTGCGCTCGGTTTGCAACAAACGACAACACCTTTTGGTTGTGAACCATTTTAACTCCCCCTCCCACTCCCTGGATGACATGTCCATCCTGGGCCTCCTCCAGTGTCAGAATGACACCACCCAGAAACTGGAAGAGCAGCACCTCATAATCCACCTTGGGAGCCTACAGCCCAATGACCTCAATGTGGACTTTACCAGTTTCAAAATCTCCCCATCTCCCCTCATCCCATGACCAACCCTCCTTCTCATCCCCACCTCTTTGACCTGACACAACCTGTCCATCTTCTCTCCCACCTATCTGCTCCTCCCACCTCACTGACCAATCCCCACCATATGCCTACCTGCACTCCCCTATCACCATCCCACCTACCTTCCCCAGCCCCACACCCTCCTCTCTCTATTTATTTGAGCTCCCTTCCCCCTCACCACTTCGGAAGAAGGGTCCCAACCCGAAACATTAACTTTCCTGCTCCTCTGATGCTGCCTGAGCTGCTGTGTCCCTCCAGCTCCACACTGCGTTCTCTCTGACTCCAGCCTCGGCAGTTCTTGCTATCTCTCTTTCTTTCAGATGTTCAATTTAAACTGAACTGCCGCTAGATTCCATGTTATGTTCACTCGCACCCATCCCATTTCATGCTGTGAACTCGCTTTGATTTGTAAATAAATAAATCCCTTCTCGAAAATCATGGAGCATAAAGCAACATTTCCTTCTTAAAACGATCTGAGTGCATTGACAGCATGCAAACATCAAATGTAAATTTAATTTAGTGTATTAATGAGGCTAATTTAATTCTAATTTGAAATATTAATATAACTCGAACACTCTAACAATGACCAGTCTTTAGCATCACACCTTCCCACATGAACAAATGATCCCAGCGTTATGAATGCCAATTCTTTCCTTATTTCCGAAAATAAACCTCTTTAATAGTCTAGATATATATTTTAACACCAAAGAGATTCCAGCGATTGTTACCTCATAGTACTGATCAGTTGGAAATCCTGCTGAATTTCTTTCGCAGCTTCAAATCTGCTTCTAATGCGAGTTGATCGAGGTGTGTGTCTGGGTACGTTGTTGCTCAATCTAATTTCTGAGTCCCGTGACAACTGCTTGATAGCGATAATAGGAACTGCAGATGCTGGAAAATCCGAGACAACAAAGTGCAGAGCTGGATGAACACAGCAGGCCAAGCAGCATCAGAGGAGCAGAAAGGCTGACGTTTCGGGCCTCGACCCTTCTTCAGAAATGGGGGAGGGGAAGGGGGTTCTGAAATAAATAGGGAGAGAGTGGGAGGTGGATAGAAGATGGATAGAGGAGAAGATAGGTGGAGAGGAGACAGACAGGTCAAAGAGGCGGGGATGGAGCCAGTAAAGGTGAGTGTAGGTGGGGAGGTAGGGAGGGGATAGGTCAGTCCAGGGAGGACGAACAGGTCAAGGGGGCGGGATGAGGTTAGTAGGTAGGAGATGGGGGTGCGGCTTGAGGTGGGAGGAGGGGATAGGTGGGAGGAAGGACAGGTTAGGGAGACGAGCTGGGCTGGTTTTGGGATGCGGTAGGGGGAGAGGAGATTTCGAAGCTTGTGAAGTCCACATCGATACCATTGGGCTGCAGGGTTCCCAAGCGGAATATGAGTTGCTGTTCCTGCAACCTTTGGGTGGCATCGTTGTGGCACTGCAGGAGGCCCAGGATGGACATGTCGTCTGTGGAGTGGGAGGGGGAGTTGAAATGGTTCGCGACTGGGAGGTGCAGTTGTTTAGTGCGAACCGAGCATAGGTGTTCTGCAAAGCGGTCCCCAAGCCTCCGTTTGGTTTCCCCGATGTAGAGGAGGCCACAACGGGAACAGCGGATACAGTATACCACGTTAGCAGATGTGCAGGTGAACATCTGCTTGATGTGGAAAGTCTTCTTGGGGCCTGGGATGGGGGTGAGGGGGGAGGTGTAGGGGCAGGTGTAGCACTTCCTGCAGTTGCAGGGAAAAGTGCCGGGTGTGGTGGGGTTGGATGGGAGTGTGGAGCTGACAAGGGAGTCACGGAGAGAGTGGTCCCTCGGAAAGCAGATAAGGGTGGGGAGGGAAAAATGTCTTTGGTGGTGGGGTCGGATTGCAGATGGCGGAAGTGTCGGAGGATGATGCGTTGGATTCGGAGGTTGGTGGAGTGGTACGTGAGGACCTGGGGGATTCTGTTTTGGTTGTTGTTGCGGGGAGGGGGTGTGAGGGATGAGTTGTGGGAAATGCAGGAGATACGGTCGAGGGCGTTCTCGACCGCTGTGGAGGGGAGGTTGCGGTCCTTGAAAAACGAGGACATCTGAGATGTACGGGAGTGGAATGCCTCATCCTGGGAGCAGATGCGGCGGAGGCGAAGGAATTGGGAACAGGGGATGGCATTTTTGCAGGAAGTTGGGGGGAGGAGGTGTACTCTAGGTAGCTGTGGGAGTCGGTGGGCTTGAAATGGATATCGGTTTCTGGGTGGTTGACCGAGTTGGAGACAGAGAGGTCCAGGAAGGAGAGAAAAAAAAAAAAAAAAAAAAAGGTGAACTTAAGGTTGGGGTGGAAGGTGTTGGTGAAGTGGATGAACTGTTCGAGCTCCTCGTGGGAGCACGAGGCAGCGCCGATACAGTCATCA